CTTCATTTGGACAACTTTAAAGATGATTTTCTCAATATTTAGATTTTTTTGCACCCTCAGATTCCAGATTTTCAAATAGTTGTATCTCAGCCAAATATTGTCCTATCCTAACAAACCATACATCAATGGAAATCTTATTTATTCTGCTCATAGATGATGTAGAAATATAATTTTCAAGAAATTGACCCTTATGACTGGTTTTGTGTTTCAGGGTCACATGTGCGTTTCTAATGTTGCATATGTTCAGTTCATATTCGAGTGCGTTGTTGGAGCCTGAGTCTCATGTTCAGCTCTGTGTTATTATGATGATGTGCGAATAGCATCATGTGAGAAAGCTGAGCGTCTGCTGGTTGAATGGCAGTTGTTTTCAGCAGGAAGACTGCGAGCGCAGGATTTGCTGCAATATGAGCTGCAGGCTTTGAGACTGTAAAGATAATGAGAGATGAATGGCAGCTGAAACCTAAAGAAACTGCTGGAGAAAAAAACAACCCGCGTGCCTTTGTGAGCTCCGTTTTCCAGGATAATACTTGAGTTACTAAAGTCTCCTCGGAGCACATAAAATTCTTACATGAGATAGTGCTGTCAAATGATTACATCCAAAATAAAAGTTTTCGTTTACGTAATATATGTGTGTGTGTGTGTGTACTGTGTATATTCATTATGTATATATAATGCATGCATACATTTAAAAGAAATGTTATGTTTATATACATATATAATATAAATTATATACATATAAATAAATACATGTAAATATTTGCTAAATATATATATGTATGTGTGTGTATTTATATATTGTAAATATACCCATTACACACACATATATTATGTAAACAAAAACTTTTATTTTGGATGCAGTTAATCACGATTAATCATTTGACCGCGCTAGTTTAATACTTGTAATTTCCTGTATCATTATTTACTATTATTTATTACATTATTTATTTAAATAACTAGTACATGACATGTTTAAATTTGAGATATTAATATTGAAACATGTACATAGCAAAAGTGTTAGAGTATGGTTAGTCACATGATGTTACCTTTAATTAGCCTGGTTGTTTTTCCAGTTTTGTTGTCTCTCTCTTGGGTGTTTCTGAGCCATATAGGGATTCACAGTGACTCCAAAGTTTTACGTCACTGAGCTTATTCATTTACCGCTGTTCCCCTCAGGTGAGAACAGGAGCATCAGTCATTGTTTGTTCATGTGTGCTGGAGTCAGTGTTACAGGTGAAACAGTCCTGAGGAGAACAACAGGTGTTGAACCGTGCCCGTTTCTGACACTGCTGTTGAAGCAGATGTTCTCCGGCTTGAGTAATAGTAGGACAACTCATCCGCTGAAAATGTTTTCGTTGAGAGATCAGTGCATCTCCTTGAGCTGTTTTTGATTAGCTATGTTAACGTGAGAAAGAGTGGAAGTTATACACCACTGTCGGCACCAAAATAGAATATAATGATGGTTGTTTTCGAACTGGTTTCCCAAACACTCTGCCAGTCTTTTACTAGACAGCTAATTGAATTCTTCTGCTCCAAACTCACAATTGGTTGAGCTGGTATTGCTGTGTTGGGCTGGTTGGGATTCTCAAACAAACACGGTAATGTTTTAACTTTTCGTGGGAATCAGCCTGGCTGACATTGCCTCAGTGGGGCAGGTGAACGTATTGAAACATGGAAAAAAAGTGACATTGGGGGTAGGGGTGTGTGATATTGACAAAAAATAATATCTCGATATTTTCTTAATAGACTGAATCATGCAGTGAAAGAAAACACACTAAATGCGCACACGCACTAGTCTAGACTTCACGTAATGTATGCGTGCGCTCTGTAGGGATGTTTTGAATGGTTTTTGCAAAATACTCGATAATGTCAAATCGCACATCGTTAAAACAACAATTACGATATTATCGCAGACAATATATATCGCACACCCCTAATTGGGGGTCCATATTATTCAAAGTTTAATAATAGCTTGACAGCCGTTGAGCTCGCAGAGAAAACCTTAAGGCATCGTAACGTTGGGTCCGTTTACGCTTGCCCACTTCATGCAATTTCTTTGACTGGATGGTGTTTCGAAACGCAGATTGCAGTCTGATCGTACAAACCTCTTCAGGAGGTAGTTTGAGACTCATGCATGCAAATGCATCTGGCACTCAACTGTGTTGAATTTGCAAATAGCGTGGGAATTGAAGATTGAAGATGTGAAGATGTTTTAACAAACTGGATCAGAGAAAATGCATGAAGTGAAAAATGTAAATAGGCCCTTGTGATTTTGGTTTACATTAGTTGCAGCAAACTTTCTTCCAAGTCTAGATGATTTCCAAAGAAATAGGCAGAAATATTGGATGTGATTTATTACAGTAGTACTGAATTGCGTAATATTTCTCAGCAGATCTGCAATTGGAGCTTGACATTGAGAAACAGCGGCGTGGTTTTCCAGCGCTGTCCGGTGTGTCCGCGCTGGGGTCTGGAGATTCCTGTGTGCTTGACACAGTTGGTGTGCTTCCATTGGGTGTTCCCAGCCCACAGAATCGTAATTAATTTGTTTGCGTTTCCAGCGGATGTGGTGGGGCTTTGACCACTCTCATTAAGCATAGATGGCTGGTCTAATGCTGGAGAAGATACTACTACTACCTCTAGAAAAGAAAACATAACAGGTCATTGATTTAGTAAAACAACAGTGTCAGATTAAATGGTTTATGTTGAACTTGTGGGTCAAGATCAAGAAAGTTTCTTTACATAAAGGTGTTTTGTAAAAGAAATTAATACTTTTATTCCACAAGGACACATTAAATTGATTTAAAGTGACAGTAATGACCTTTATAAAGTTACAAAAGGTTTCAAATAAAGGCTTTTCTTTTGAAAATTCAGCTTTACATCCCAGGAATAAATTACATTTTACAATATATTATGATAGGAAACAGTTGTTCTAAATTGTGATAAATATTTCACGGTTAATTTCAAACAGTTTTTAGTGTATTTTGGATCAAATTGATTGAAAATAAGAAACTTAAAAAAAAAAAAGAGCTTACTGACCTCAAATTTCTGCTCAGTAGTGTGTATGTTTGTTTGTTGGCTAATATATGGTGAAATTTCTTTAACAGTTTAACAGACTTGTAAATAAGTACGGAAAGACCCAAGGTGCATCCCAAAGATCCTCTTGTGTGTGGAACTACTTTCTTACACCTTGGATTCAAGATCTGCTGTTGCTATTTAAGATGTGTCCAATCCTCCATTACTAATTCAAAAAATGGCATGTTACAAAAATAGTAAGACAGTTACCTTTTTACTGCTGAAAGAGTCCCTGAAAACCTCCACCACTAATGCACACTGACGGTCTGGGACAAACACAGACATGTGGAGTGAGTGAAGCATTGCTGTTAGACTCTGATTTGATGACCAGAACTAACGGCTATATTTAAAAAAATACATTGAAAAATAAACCACCACATTTTTGTTTCAAAAATAGATTGAAGCTATTCCATCTTAAATATTTATCAGCTCTTGAGATAAATTAAAACCCTTTTAATTGATTTTTGATGGTTGATTTTGTGAAACATTGA